TGGTTCGGTGTGCCCGGGAAAGCTAGCCCCAAACCCAATTCCGGGAGTAGTATGCTTTCGAAGTGAAGACCGAAACAGTTCTGCATGAGGGCATAGGTCGAAAGGCGGAACCTGGAAGCTTCCAGGAAGTGACCCTGCTCAATAGATTGGGTGTCTCTTAGGTAGTAGTTGATAAAGAAGTTCTGCGTTCTCCAGAAGCTTGCCCTCAGAATGTGTTTGAGGGAGGCGCCTGCCGCTAGTGCTAGCAATTGCAATGGCACAAACCTCGTGCGCTCATAATTGATGACTCTGCAGACTCTGTGTTGAGGAGAATAACGTATTATAGATCTCCAATACAGTCGCAGTGATTCACCTGGCGATGGAAGCGGGGAGGCCCGCTTATCCTTACTGCCAGGGCCGTCACACAAAAACATGCGTTTGGTTCCCCATCTTGAAAACCTAACACGGTTCTCGTAGCAACTTAACGCTCGAACCGGGCAGAGAAGCAATTTCTCCTGATCCTCCGGGCTGACAATATTTGACAGCCGGGGGATGACGATCGGCTGGGGATCGTGTCCTGGGATTTGGTTCTTGGCGAGGAATCCGATTCGTGTCTTTAGCACAACCTGATCATCCATAAAGACGGTGCACTTGTCTGCGAAGGACAGTGCGCCTAGTTCTGACTGGCGCCTATACCTGAGGTGAGGGCCAGTAGGAAGACTATTTTCCACGTCAAAAACTTGAGTGGTGCTGATCAAAGGGACTCGAGGGGTGGTCTGCATAGAGCTGATAACACAACGAACAGATCCCAATTGGGCGGTTCCCTTGAACGGGTTCTCGGCCTCTGATTATGGAAAGCAGTAAACAGTCTCCTAATAATAGTACAATCGGCTAGACTTGACCCCAAAGAGTTCTCAATGGCGGGGGACAAGGCTGACCTGTAGCCAACCATCGCTGCGTAGGACAAACCTACTTCGTCAAACAAGTGGACAAAGAAGTCTGCTACCTGGCCGATAGAGGGATGGCATGGATCAATCTCCCTTCCACTACACCAATTAGTGTATGCTCGCCACTTTGAGTTGTAGGCAGCGTTAGTGGAATCCCTGTTCACCCTGGCCAGGACGTTGGTCTAAAGAGGCTAACCAGTCAAACTGGCGGATAGAGAGAAGAATGCTTAATGGCGTCTCCATGTGAAACCGATTGAGAAGCACATACTGATTTAGTCTGCTGAGGTCCAGAACCGAGCCGAAAACATTTGAGTAGAAGCGCCGACTGAACTACCCTGTGTATGGCGCCCTTTTCCAGCAAACTGTCTACTTTCTGTCTGATTGCTTCTGTCTTGCAGGGATTAGGGGCACTGCCAGGGGAGGTGGAGATGTCAATGGTATCCTGTGGCCGCGAGTCACCAGCACCAGCATCCAGGGATCGGCTACCCGCTGCCTCCAAGCCGGCAAACATCGGCGCAATCTGTGTGCGACAGGGATGTGTGGCCATGGGGCGGCAGTTGTGAGGGGAGGGTCCTCTTCTCCCATGAGGTGAGCTTCCCCGGGGTCTCCTGGAGTTACTAAGTTGTAACCTGGCCCCTTGCCGAACATATGCCCCCCCTCATCGCAGATGTAAGCGTCAAACCTGCTTCCCCTGCTGCCGGGGTGGATGACCGCCCGAGGAGGAGGAGCCACCACCTGGTCCCTTCTTTCCCAGGGGCGCGCCGCTACTCTTCCCTCCTGTGGAAGGGTATGAGCGCTTGCCTCCTGGCTGACTCTGGCTAGCGGGCTTAGTTATAGGGCGTTGCGTTTTCTGTGCTTGGGGTGCCCTCCGTTTGCCTTTGGCCAACTGGCTAGCGGATTCGACTTGAACCACCTGGGTCGTTACACCCCAAAGCTCTGATACTGCACCCGCCATTTCCCCATCAAAGAGAGTGGATGATGTCCAGTCTGCATAACTGAGGCGGTGTCATACCCTTTGACTCAGTGCGTCGGCGAAAACACACACGTCCAAAACCGCGTCTCGCTGCACCATAGTTGCCTCGGCTAAGAAAGCCATATGACACTGGAGAATATTGCACATAGCTATGCGGTGGCCTGCCATTAACTGTGTCGCCTGGTCTAGGAGGCGGGTGCATTCTGCCTCCGAGGTCTCAGATTGATGGGTCGCAACTCTGCCCTCGGGGCGTGTTGGATCGTCTCAGACTGAGCTGGTGAGAACGCCCAGAGAACGCGGCCGTCCCCCTTCACCCGGTGAGCCAAACAGAAGTTTGTGGTACCAGAGTCTGGGGAAGGAGTCTTGACTTGGACGCGCGACTTTTACAAGAACGAGCGGCGCGACTTTTACAAGAACGAGCGGCGCGATCAGTCTCAGCGATTTTAATGCAGTGCTGGAAAGAATCCCAGGCCCCATAACTCCAAAGATTGCAAATGCCTTCCGAGCAAATAAACCCCAAACCCCTCACGCAGCCGAGGCACAAATAACATTTAGTGTGTGGGTTCCAATCTTGAATATTCTGTGCGCAACCACTACATCTCCGCCTCACAATCTGAGGGGATAAAACTTGTGGCGAGCCTCTGGCGCTGTCATTACATCTATCCATTTCTAAATACATTGGTAAATAAAAGGAAGATGACATGCATGAGGGAAGCGAAATACAGTTGTAAAAGGTGCTGCCACGAAACCAAGTGGCTACACTTAGGGCGCCAGGTTTTATTTCTTTGTTGTGAAGGAAAATACAACACACAAAGGGGAAAATGACACGAGGGTAAAAAAGACAAGAAAAACTTATCCTACCAGCTAGAATGTCGGTGCCGCGGCAACGGCAGGATCCAAGCTTGAAACCCGGACAGAAAAAAGCTAACAAGCCAGGCAGAGCCGCTAGAACTTCATTCTCATCGATGCGGAGAAGAAATCAGAGTATCCAGCCCTAATGGCTCTGCCATATGGGCTCGGTCACGTGGTTCGTGACGTAAGGGAAGAGAATCTTGGGGTCATGGGGCTTCCCCTGACCTAGATTCCATCTCTCCGTCATTGGCAGAATCGCTGATTAATGCCTACAGTTCAAAATAGTCATGTGACTGACCTGAGTCGATGGTGGGTAATTGAACGTAGTGAAAAATCTATGTTGCTCGTAACTCAATGATAATTAAACTGGTAATTTAAGGTTCAAGTTACTAAATTGTGAAGTTAAACAATTCAAAATTCTGTTAACTGTTAATTGAACACTGGGTTACAATTTGGGCATGGTTTCTAAAATTACGACATGATCATTTTTGTAACTCTGTTCATAACTAGAACAATTCAGTATTCATCTGTATCAGTGACATAATAACCTACAGAGGGACATATGTATTCACCCATAAATTGCATATTTACCTGTAGCACCCAATGGATGCCCTTTGGATATTAATCCACCGCTAGGGTTGACAACAAACTTGCCACCATATGTGTTATCACCTCGGTCAATGAACTCACCAGCTTTACCTATATTATACAATAATAAACACAGAATTACAAGAAATAGATTGCAGAGCGGCAAATTATATATAACTACAGGAACTAAAATCAAGGGTACTTTTGTTATAGAGCTATAAAACAGTGAGATAATTATTGTAAAACATGTTGAAAAAGCGACATGCAATTTTAGCGAATTGTGGTAAAATGACGTAAAAGCGAAATGTTGATTTAGCGAATCTCTCTTGTCATTGTTGGTTTCCTGTTTTCACAATACTTGTTTGTCGTGCGCCAAAACAAATGCACAGTTATCACCTCGATAAAAAGAAAGAAACTATCAAGTGTAATTTGATTCTATAAAAAACTGATTCAACAGGGATTTGGAAAAGCGGGTATTGTTGCTGCGTTACATGCAGAACATTGACCTTGTATACCCTTTACAAAAGCACTCCTTAAAATGTTTAACACTGTATTAGATAGTGGGGAATACCTGTTGGAATACTAGCACAATTCACCAATACACAACAAAGAAGATATTCACAATCCAAATAATTACGGGGGTATTTCAACTAGTAGCTCAATCGGTTAATTAACAAAAGACTAACACAATATTTAAAAGATAACAACTTGATTCATAAAAATCAAGCTGACTTTAGGGAAATTTTAAGGCACAGAACAACAGACCATGTAATAACACTGCACACATTGATAAAAAAAAATCAGTCGAAAAACTATACTCTTGCTTCATTGACTTAAGCAGATGTTTTGACACAGTTTGGAGTCATGGACTGTTCCTTAAGTTACAACAAAACAATGTACGTGGTAAAATTTATAATGTCATAAGACATATGTACAGGAATATGGATTTTCAAGTGAAACTTGGTAACAAAGTAACACCAAATTTCACAATACAAGATGGTGTGAAACAGGGATGCCCACTAAGTCCAACACTATTTAATTTATTTATCAATGACTAATAGTGGGGGAGATAAATAAATGCACAAACAGTGCTCCTCACTATTACCTCACTGGTATTTGCTGACGACATTGTATTGACAGCATTAACAGAAAACAATTTACAAAAAGCACTTGACACAATGCATCAATATACAAATAAATGGGGTCTGAAATTAAATACCAAAAAGACAAAAATAATGATTTTCACCAAAACACACAATTTACATTTGGCAATAATTCGATAGAGATAAGTGATACATTTACTTATTTAGATGTTACATTTAATAAACATGGGTCATTGAACTGTAAAATTGACAGACTGGCTGATAAAGCTAGGAAATCAGAAGCAATGACAAAAACATTATCGGGATCAACAAACATTAATCTACAACTACAATTGTTTGAGGGTATTCAAATGCCTATCCTAACATATGCATCAGAAATTTGGGGTATCATTATAAATCAGGAACACTGGGACAAAACAAATACAGAAAAACACCACCTCAGGTTATGTAGACACCTACTAAATGTCTATAACAAGACCAGCAACATTAGCACTAGAATGGAGATTGGGCGGCTCCCTTTAATTGCAAAAAAACAATACCAAGCCATAAAATATTATCAAAATATTTTGAGGAATGGCCCAATAAGCTTGGCATACGATGCATAGACCAGCAACAGAATCAATACAAAGATTCTTGGTTTACAAATCTTCAGAAATTACAACAAATTTATTATATACATGACATAAAAAACAACAAAGATGAATTTAAACAGAAAACTGAAGACTACTATGAAACAAAATGGAACTTGAGCAATGATGATCTAAAGTCAAAACTACGGACATATAAATTACTAAATACTTAAAAACAGTACAAAACAGAGAGGATACTGGCCTTATTTCTAGACTAAGACAAAGTGCACATAAACTTATCAATGAATCTGGAAGACACCAAAAACCAAAAATAAAAATTGAAGATAGAAAATGTGCAAAATGTAAAATTACTGAAGATGAGCTACACTTTTTCACATCATGTAGTCTTTATACTGAGGCCAGAGTAAGATTATACACAAAATTTTCAGAATCAATTGAACATTTGTTCAAGCAAATAATACAGAAAAACTTGTTTACATTTTAAATGCTGAGAACAGACCATTGATAAAAGAATTAATTAAATACATAAAAACATCATATACGACAAGAAATCATTATTATCAATGTTAAACAAAAACTCATGGAAATGTAATATTTTAATTTTTATCAACAAGTACCTGTACCGGTAATATTTCTTTACTGTATCTTTATGATAAGTATAGTTTTTGTTTTCAGAATAGTTTGTTATACCTTTATTACATTTGTATTCACCTAAATTGAATTTCTTTCAATATGGTTGTAATAAAGAATTATCTTAAATTATATTGTGACTCAGAAATTACTACCAGTAAGTACTACTACCCGGTAATTAAAAAAAGACGTTGTTTGGTGGCCATTTTGAATTTATAATAAAGTCATTAGCAACATCTTGAATTAGCGAATCAGTTACCGGTATCTTGCTAAATTCGCTAAAAGTAAAAATACATGCTCGCGAAAAAGACATGTTTTACAGTATTTGGCACATATACCGGTAATCAGATTCATGGGACCTAGATGCATATCAAAATATATTAATAAGCATTGAATCACAATGGTTGCAGTGAGATCATTAAATTATTGTATTGGTGATAATTAGGGTTAAAATGGATTAATATACGACATATCCATATATGGTGACAAACACCAAAGACCCAAGTGATATACAATTATATACCAGTATGTTTACAAATTGTTGATTAAACATGTAAATTTAAACCAAATTATTCAAGCAGAAAAATTAACAATTATAGTCCTTCTTTGTGATGCTTCGTTATTAGTTCGAGCGACACTTGTTGATGAGGTCTGAGCATATTCTAAGATTAATGTAAAAATACAGCCACCCATCAATTCAATGCCAATTATCGGGCTATCATATTACTTGATTCCATAAATTATGACAAGTCATTGTCAATGACACGTCCCTGTTCCGTTCATATTTGAGTGACATATGCATTCAAAGCAGATCGTGACCGAAATCTCAGACCACTTTCAGTGGTCTGATCCGAAATGCACATGCATATGTAAAACACATTGTACTAAATCTGAACAAAATCCATCCATGCATGACTGAGATCCGGTTCCGGAATTGTGAAAATGCGTGATTTTGATGCATATTCGGCCTTAATTAATTGTTAAGCTGATCATGAAACAAATGCACATATCTATTTGTGACATGATGTACCATGTGTGTGTGAAGTTTGAACTTGATCAATCCAGACATGTCTCAATGTTTTTGATTTGAGAACTAACATTTGGAAATTACCATGGTGTTTCATCCCAAATTTAGTAGGTTGGTACAAGCATGGAGCTAGCTCCATGGTACTAGTAAACAGCCCGGGACATGGTCAATATAGGAGTCTGAGTAAGTTAGGCCCTGAAAATAGCGTCATCACACAGTATTCCATTAATGAACGAAGTTCACATAACAATCTTATGCTTACAAATCATACTAAAACAAGCCGGTGGGCTGGTTGGCGATTGGCTCCGCTCAAAAAACATGCAACATGTTTTCGGTTGTTGCCACGGTAGGCACCGGGCACTGTATACGAAGTTTGCCAAAAAAACAATCAGTCTTCAGAACCTGCCTGAACCTATGAACTAAATTGGCTCAGCCAAAAAAAATCATTTTGTTGAACAGTTACCCCAACTTTGGGGTCAAATTTCTCGATAATGAAAAAAGATATCAAAAATTCAAATAGTAACTTTGTGCCCACACTCAAGCTGAGTAGAATGAGCTATGTTAGTGGTGTTTTATCCCAAATTTGTAGGAGGAGAAACATTTGGCGCAAAGCTATGGCAACGGTGGGCCAAATTTTTTTCAGATTTTTTCCAATAACTAGGGTGAAGGTGTGACCTACCTGCCAATTTTGAGCGAATCGGCCAAGCCAAAAAAAATCAAAGAAATAATACGTGAAAACACTGGAAATCACACACACAGACTCGCAAATACAAACCTACAAAAGTGATTTTAAGGGCAATCCTAGCGGAGCAGATCGCCAATATGTTATTTAGAGTATTAAAAATTCCCACTTCCGGTTAGATTAGAATTAAAAAACACCACGAATATTCACTTTTGAAATTTTTGATATGTGTTGGTTCTTGGATATTTCAGCTTCGTTGTCCTGTACTTCATTCAGTAATTCGAACTTCCCTGATTATGTAAAATCGTAGAGATTCTCGATTTCGATATCGAAATCGCCTTGGCTTAATTATTTGTTGACAATCCCTAATAGTGCTAAATCGCCAGTTGTGAACTTAATTAGGATTCCCGTATGAAGTTACACATCATTCTAGCAAGGAAAAATATTGATTTCTGTTATATAATAAAATAATTAATATTTCATTTTTATATCTTTATTTATTAAAATATGTACACATTATATCTAATTGGGGTGGGTATTGCCAAGCAAGTATATAAAATTATAAAAACTGACCGCGAAATACGCCTTTGAGAAGTATTACTGATGGAATATTTTATATTGTAATTTCTTTCAATTAGAATTAGTTATATTGCAATGCATTATGTAAATATATATATATACATTCCTTTATTTCATTGTTTAGACTGAGTTATACAGTTTGTTACATACTACAATTTATCTATATTGGAAAACGGTTATGGGGATTATTAATTTCAATAAACAATATTCAACTATTCTTTGCAACACCAATAAGATCATAATGGTAATGTTTATTGGTCTTTGAAACTCGAGGCATCATCGGAGCATTGGTCTTATTTTGGAACTCCTGCTAGGATGGTATTCCCAGAATAGTGCCAGTTGTTAAAGAAACATAAAAGTTTAATTCTCAACAAGGATGAAAGGATCAGTTACTGAGACAAAGTCCTACTCTTGCGAAACTCTACAGATACGAAACCCAATTACCGCGAAAGCCACTCACCGCGAAGCTACTAATGCAAAGATAATCAAAATTTCAAGACAATGCCAACCTATTGCAAAGACCATGTATAAATGTCAAGACAATGCCAACCTAATTGCAAAGACAATAAAGACTTATGGTCTCATACCACTAATCAACCAATGGCTGCTCGTAGCCTAGCAAATGCCTCGCAAGAGCCAATGAAATTTTTTAAATTTGTTTTTTCTCAGGTGCCATGTTTTCCAACTTTCTTCATCATTTTCATATAGCAATCTCGTCATATGTTAACATTGTCGTCTATGGAAATTCAATTCGTGGTATGAGCCCTTATACGTTGTGGCAGTAGTAGTGAAAGCCAAAATGAGGACGCCGCCAGTGCTGGAGGTCATAGTGGGTGACCCCCACAGGCGCTCGGTATGTTTCTGTGACAACAAGTAACCTGTAGAAGGCTGTGTGGGTAATATTTTTATATTGAATTTGCAGCAAACAGTTACCAAACAATGAGAAATATATAGGATTGGATATACCTCTCAGCTGGCTTCACATGCACAGTTCAAGACTGCCTAACCAGTGCTTATACCAGGATTTAGTTACAGCACCTAGACGGTCTGTGACAGCTTCATGTCCCGAGTAATCTCAAGAAATTGACATTACAATAGAAAATAAAAGACTGACACTCCCATGCAATTAATAGCAAGTGAAATTCCTGTGATTGAAACATAGATTTTGAAGTCACTGTTGTAGGCAATGAATAAGTTCAAGTTGGCATAAACACGAGGTAGTTTATTTAACCAGTGCTGAACTAGAAGTTGAAATTATAATTAAGTCCGTTGTCATATAATTTGTTTATTTAAATTTCTCCTGAAGTCAAATAGAATACATTGGTGAATGGATGTTTTGGGGGTGTAGTTTACACTGTGTATGGAGTGGTAGGGTTGGGTGTCATATAATTTGTTCATTTCCAACTCTCATGAAGTCACATAGAATTTCACATAATGTATTTTCGTTTTCAAGCATTAACGTGTGAATCCAATTTTCACTGTGCTGTGTTAAGTCTCAATATGAGGGAAATGACATTTTCACTGGAATTTATTTTAGCGGAAAAAAGTTTACAGTGAAAATGAAGTTTATTTTAACTTGTCCCTGAAATCAAAATTGGTATTTCCACACCACATATGCAAATGAGGTATGAGAGCAAACAAAGTTGTCCTTTCAAGAGTAGCGTTTTTCCAAACATAGCAGAAATAAAATATATTTTGAAGTACCGTATTTTACCCTTGGGTACATGAATATACTTGCCGAGTGAAATAAAATTTGAACAGTAATGGTACTTCTAGGCAGTCACTTATTTTTACTAAAACTAATTTGCATATCACCCATACAATTAATGTTTTTGGTATTTTCACTGTCAATATGCAAATGAACATGGTATTGGCAATCCACTCCACTGGGATTGCCCTAAAAATCACTTTTGTGTGTCTTGGCTGATTTCTCTCAAACCTCTCAAACAACTCCATTAGCAAAAATCTGGGGGGGGGGGGGGGGGGTTTGTCCACCGTTGCCATAGCAACAGCCAAAAAACTGATTTTTTGATAGCTTCACGTTAAATGTATCTCCTCCAACAAATTTAGGATACAACACCTCTGACATAGCTCATTTTACTCAGCTTGAGTGTGGGCACAAAGTTTTGTATAAATTATATGAAAACAAATTCTGACCACCGTTTTCATGGGAACAACCAAAACCTGATTCTTTTATAATACCTTCACGCCAAATGTACCACATCCTACAATTCTATGATTAAAAAGCACGGACGTAGCTCATCTAGTCAGCTTGAGTGTGGGCAACAATTTACTGTTTTTTATGTCTATTTTCATTACCGAGAAAATGGACCCCAACGTTTGGGTAACTTTTCACCAGCCACAGCTTTTAACTCATCTCTGAGATTTTTTTTTTGGCTTGGCTAATTTTGTTCATACATCCTGGCCCACAGCTACCATGGCAACCAGTGGCGGATCCAGAGGGGGGGGGGGCAGGGCAAAACGCATGACGATTCATATGATCTGGATTACGCATAGCTTCTCTGCGATTTACGCTCTGTATATCTTAACCGAAGCTTGGACCCCCCCCCCAATACATTTTGCTGGATCTGCCACTGATGGCAACAGCCAAAAACTGTTTTTTGAATACTTTCGCCCCAAATTTATTACC